TCCAGAGAGTCCATATAGTAGACCCTGTTGAGTTCCTCCGTCCCCTCGGTAGCCAGACGTGGCGGAGCGTCCGGCGCCAGGCCTTCACTCGTTGAATCCTCGAGAACCGGTAGAAGGCTGGGTTCCATATGTAAGACCTAAGTGGATCCCATATGTGTAAAGTCCACGGTATAGCCTTGAGCCCGTGTTTCCCCGGCAGACTTCTACCATTCAAAGAGGGTTACAATCACCTCCATTCTTCCATATGCACCTAAGGAATGTTCATATGTGTATTGCTTCCGAAACCTCCTTCGGGAAGGTTGGAGCTTCCGTAACGTCCCTGTTCCACGTAGAACGGGTACGTTTTCCCAGTGTTTACTCACTGGACTCACTGGGTAGTGCCATAGTAGCAGTAGCTGGTCCTCTTGTGAAGCCCTGGCCTACGCGGGGCGCAGGGGGCGCAGGTGGCTTCCACAGGACACTGGAAGGGGCAGTAGCTGTGGCCTTTTGGTAGGATCCCAATTCGTCAGTCATCCGACGTGACGTCGAGAGTGACCGACTGAAGAAGCGAAAAGCTGAATATGCGTTGCATCTGCTGCCTACTTATACTCACGCTGTGATCAGCAGCAGCTGGATGCAATAATCGCATGCCAATGTGCATTGGCTCGTTTAGTTTACACTCGAAGTAGATTGGTCTCTCTAAGCGAGATCCCAATTCGTCGGTCATCCGACGTGACGTCTCCGTTCCCTCCTTCAGGGAACGAGGGTTACCATACGTAACCGAGACGTTTTATACATGTTTTTTTCTTCTAATGCTGATAACATATGCATCACACATATGCCCTTGCATGAATATATCTTAAGCCTATAATGTATTCATGTTTAAATTCCCCAGCTCAGAGACTGAGCCATACAAAATCAGCTCTCCGCCAGCCCCCTGAAGCTCTCCCGTAATCCCAGCATTGCTAATTCAAATCTTGAACGTCCCTAGGAGATGCAGCGATGACCTGTACATTTGATGCAGCGATGCACAACAAATGCATGAAAATATTTGCCGTGTCGGAGCTCAACACAATACACTGCACTCATAATGGCTGCTGTTTGATTTAGAGATCTAACATTCAGGAATCAGCATCTACCGAGATGGTTGAAAGTTAGAAATAATAAAGATTTTTTAATTATTTTTGAAAGAAATCCCTTATGCTCACCAAGGCTGCATTTTGATCAATACCAAAGGATCATGTGACACTGACGACTGCAGCAATGGATGCTGAAAATTCAGCTTTGCCATCACAGGAATAAATTACATTTTAAATTACATAAAACAAAAACAGTTTAAATAAAATTTTAATAATATGTCAATATATTACAGTTTCAACTGTATTTTTATTTAATAAATGCAGCTTTGGTGAGCAGAGAGACTTTTGACTGGGAATGTGTATGGGATGTTTGAGAGATGGGCAGTGGAGCCACTACATAATCATGAATGGTCTAAATGAGTTATGTACATAAATCATCTTTGTTGAAACATTTAAGCTGAGTGTACTCTCTGTAAAATATGGCCTACATCTTGTATATTTGTATATTATACTGTATATAAAATGAATCTTTTGCAATTGCTACAATTAGTCTCAGATGGCAGAATTGTAGCCAAATTCATACGTATGTGCACTAGGTCTTAAATATTTCAATTCTAATTCATACATGACTTATTTTATGGTTTAGGCATTTTGCAGAAATTTGCCTGCAGTGCTTCAATTAATCATAAATGGACCACAAAACAGGTGTCTTTCTGCTCCATTTTACCTGGATGCAAACACTCAAATACACCAAATCATGTATTTGGATTGGAAATGCTGAAGCACATGGTTTATTGAGAGACATGACTGTTTTGGCTTGGAATTTCTGTCTGGTCAGGACCAGACCAGACAGCCTGGACAAAGCCATTTGGCTTCAATCACAGAGTTAATCTTCTGTCCAAAAACCTGAAGAAAAAAAAAGCTCTGCTGAGGAAATGAGAGACATTAACAGAACTAATAGCAGTTTATTTAGTTCCTGTAAACTAAAAGCATTCATCTGTTTGTCACTTTTCATATTGTAAAAGCCACATACATAATTTCCAACCAACCTATTAAACCTATTGTATTATTGCTGTTGTTCATTCAGTTTACTTCCTGATTCTGTAAGTCATATTGCTTTCACATACTCCTAAAGACAAACTGCAAATGTATGCCATGGCCAAAGCTTCAGGTCTGGAATATATGCACATCACACATGCCCTACAGGATAATTTTCACTGCAAACCACTCAAGGCCAAAGACTCAAGGACCATGAAAAATAAACTGTAGTCTAAATACCAATTATTTGTTGTACTTCCATCAAGGTCTGAAATACCAGGGACCCAAAAATAGGAAAGCTGAGAAAAAAGAGAAACAACCTGTCAAAATCAACTTAGGAGTAACAAAACTATACATAGTTTTTCTATATGTGAATAGATTTACAGTATGACAGGATTATTCATTTAGCCAAGGACTTTGAAAACTTTATAAATGAAAATAATACACTAGGGTTTAGTTATGATGGGCAAGGATCCAACAAGTTACTTAATTAATCAGCTGATTTATCCATATCTGAGAAAGCAATATTATGGATAGAGGACTCATACTTTAGAAGGAGCAATAGTTTGAAGTAACAGATATCTTAAAGATGGATTTGTTTATTACAAACGCACAGCTTTTCACTTCACAAGATATTAATTGATGGACTGGAATCATTTGGATTACTTGTGGATTATTGTGTTGTTGTTGTTTTTATCAGCTGTTTGGACTTTCATTCTGACG